TGAAAGTCAAATTATTCAAATTGTCTTATACTCATGGCCTAGAAAAATTTCTTTTAAAATTATTTTAAGTCTTTTGACAGTTGTAGGTAGCATGTGATTCTGCTTGAAAGCTCAAGTGTAAGGGTGTCAAAAACAATTAGTATTTTAATAGTTCCCCTTTTAAGGTTATTTGGCAGGCAGAAGTTCATTAGAAGGAGAACAAAAATAATCAAAAAATAAACCAATGACATTATATTATTATAATTATATTATAATGCAAAATAATTTCACAATATTGTTTCTTCTACTTCTTTACATTAAAATTGGGTACAATTTAAGACAATGGGTATAGCAGTTGTCAAGATTTATTATTTTGATGGATAAGGTTTTCTACACCTGGATTAGGTGAGTGTCCTTCCTCAGTTTTCAAAGAAGCTTTAAGGCAACTAGTGCTCCGCATACAGTATTGAAAACCTTAGATATTTCATGATTTTGCCGTAAGCCAAATTCATGCTGCTTGGAGAAAAGTTAGGTCAAGGAATAGGGGACCAGGACTGGGTGAATTAGGGAGGTGGATGAATACGTATGAAGTTTTGACACATCAACACGTCTGTCTTGTGTGTCTCCTTTAGAGTTATTTTGTGGAGAAATATGCTAATTCAAAGATATCTAACTAGCTTAACATTCAATTCTAACTTCAAATCTTGGAGTGGCAGAGCAGCTGTGCCTGGAGGCAATACAATCTTATTTCTATAAAAATCTCTCAATGCTCCACATATAAGTGGAAGAGTAAAAATAGATAATCAAATCCAAATTAAGGCTATTAAGAATTGATTTCATGTAAAGATAATCTAGCAAGATTTTGTTTAGGTTATGGATATTCACTAAAATGTGTAATATTTGTTTGCCTAAATTTTTGATTATGTTTTATTTTATTTTGTCACAGTTAAATAGTTTTATCATTAGGGGTTTTAATTGCATATAGTTTATAGAATTCTTTCTGATTACTCTATATCCATTTAACTGAATAAAAAAATCCCACTGTACAATTTAATGAAAAGAGAACCATCTAAGGAGAATGCAAGCCAAATACAGGCAGATGCACAAAAGATGTGGATACACAATTTATATTTGTGAAACCTTGTTATGAGCCTTTTACAGATTCTATGCTATAAGCAAGGGAAAAGAAGTCTTTGCAAAGAGTAAGCATTAATGTAACGAAAAATCACCATTCAGTAGATCAGAACTGCAGAGAGAAAAAACAAACGTGAAAGAAAAAATAGGGAATCAAGTCTTTAGAAGTCCACTTTCAACTCTCAAATGTAGGCTCCACTCTCACGTTACCCCTCCTCCTCCTTTTGTGATTTTTGGTTTACCTGTGCCTCATCCCTTATGTGTGTCTATCCCTAAACCTCAGTATCTGACCTGTCATTCTCTAGATTAATTTTTATAACGTTCATAACATTTCTTTATGAAGTATTTGCAATTTTCTGTGAGGGGTTATTAGCCAGAGTGCTTGATTTGGCTTCTTTCCTCACACACTGACAAAGTCTTTGACTCTCTCCGTATTCCTTGCAGTCAATACATGTTGGCATTAACGTGGGTGTGGAATCCTTTCAATTCTTTCCCCTCTCTTACATATGTCACTTCAGTTCCATTCAACATGCATGGTTGTTTAAAAAAAAACTGCAAAGATCTATAATTTTCCTGCTAAAAAATTCAATAGTTCAAATTCTTGGTCAGATATGAGACTCTCTTACTTTGTCTTTATCTGGTCAATTAATTTTAACCAAGCCACTAGTACCAAAATACAGCATGACCTTTATAAAAAGCATTAATAAATATTTTATCTTTTCATAACAGGAAATTTTGCTATTTTCTGTAGACTAGAAAACCTTTAAGCTGGAATGCGCTGCATTGAGTAAAGAAATAAGATAATGTTCTGCACTCATTAGCAGATGCTTTCTTTTGTTTTATTTGCTGCTGTTAAAATTTGCTTGATTAAGCAAGGGAAAGAAATCTAATTAATAAGTAATCTCCCACTTCTAAGGGCTGTAGAATCCAATCAAGACTGAACTGCACCCTCCTCATCTGATCCAACAACCTTTTGAAGCATAAATCAGTGATGATCAAATACCTCCTTCTGATGACAGATAACATTTTAGGGAGTAGATGAGAGGCAGTTAACTGTATTTACAATTGGAGTTTTTGAAATTGTTATGTTAAATTACACTTATTTGTGCACCATCCAGAGTTTTGATTTTGCTCAATATCCATTAATTGTTCCATTCAAGCCTCAACATAAACATGTCTGTGTGCTCAGCACATTTTAATTAATGATCCATATGTCACCAACCCGGGCAAGTATTAAAGTTATAGCAGCAAAAGAGACAGGTGTCTTCTTTTATTGCCTGTCTCCACCCCAATGGAGCTCACAAGTAATATGGCAAGCACTGACTGTGAACACTTTTAGGGAATTTGTTTAACAAAAATAGAAAACACCAGGGTGTTACAAGGGCATGCATTTTAATAGGGTGCAGACTAGAGGGGACAGAAGAACCTCCTGAGAAAGAGGGAATAAGTTGCTGCTTCTTCTTGGGATATCCTTATCCTCATATTATTGGGGTCATTTCTACTCATCTCACATAACTCAGTTTATGCTCAGGTACTTTTAAACACTAAATCTGAATGCCTTCAGAGCATCTTTCTTGGTTTTCCAGACACCTATGTATCCCGAATCTTTGTGTAACTTTGCCCCTGGCATAACCACCTGGATGGGCAATATTATTACTCATCTGAAGTAAAAAAAGGAGCGATAGCACAGCAGCAGGGCGTTTGCCTTGCACGCAGTCAGCCCGGCAGAGCAGGGTTCGATTCCTCCGCCCCTCTCAGAGAGCCCGGCAAGCTACCGAGAGTATCTTGCCCTCACGGCAGAGCCTGGCAAGCTACCCGTGATGTATTCGATATGCCAAACACAGTAACAACAAGTCTCATGATGGAGACGTTACTGGCCCGCTCGAGCAAATCGATGAGCAATGGGGGGACAGTGACAGTGACAGTGAAGTAATAAGAACTTGTTAGAGGAGAGCACTTTTAAGAGCATGACAGGTCCTTAATTCATTGTGCTAACTACAGGCGGAAAAAAAAAACACCCCCAAAACAACTAATGCCTTATATTCCTGCTTTAATCTTAAATGCCAAAGCAAAAGAGAACACATCAGTAACATCAATAGAACGCTTTGGAACACTTTAACTTGCCACATATATACTAATAATTTGATCTTTGCGATGTAGTTCCTTTGGCCTGTTGTACAACCTACTCGCTCAATTATATCCCTAAAACTTAAGCTGGTATGCGCACGTGTGTGTATGTGTGTATAAATTTAGAAATAGAATCTTCATATCTTTTATGCAATGGATTGAAATATTAATTTATAGATGAACTTTGCTAGCCTCAGTACTAACACAAAACAAGAACGGCTTCCTTAAGGTCAGCATACAAATTTACTTTAATTTTCCCATAAAATAGTATCTACAAAATTTATTTTAAGCAGAGCATTGGTATATGCATCCCATGATAGTCTACCATGGCAACTGTGTTGGTGGTGATTCTTTTTCAAGGACTTACAATGTGGGCTGATTTATTTTTTATTAATAATAAAAATAATAGAGGAACCTACATGTAATAAGAGAAACAAATGGGAATCATAGTTGTAATATTTTAGTCAGAAGTGGATCCTTATGCTTGAGAAGCGTTCAGTCTCCTTCAGTTGCTATTTATTCATCTACAAAACTGAATGGTGTCTAAGGTCCGTGCAAATCTGCCTCTAAACTTTTAGATTATATTTAGTATATCACAATATTTCTAAATCATAAACCCAAAGTTTACGGCTCATTCTTCACAAAGAATTTATGACTCATTACAATTCTTTCCTATAAGTTGAGTAGGGAAAGGCAAAACAATAACCAGAATATGCTCTTGCAGTCGAATGATCTATTTAAAAAATTTTAACAGAATTTTTGCCATTTTTCTTGCTTTTTTACCATCTACTATACTTTACACTGAGCAACATGGATTCACATAACTATTAGAGATCACTCTTTATCTCATTATTTTTTGTCTCTCTTAGAAATAGTTTCTCAACTGAATCACACACATTAATACTTCTAGGACTTACCCCATCTACACTTAAAAACATTCCTTGAAAAAAGTCTGTCAATTATTTTTTCACTTTTAAAAGCAGTTTTGGAGCTGGTTTTATATTCATTAACCAGTTCCCATTCATATATCATTTCTAAATTCAGTATCAGACTGAAGAAGTGGCTATTAAAATGGGTGAATGTTTTTGACAATGGGAGGCAGCAGAAATCTCTTATAACTAATAATGAGGAAAGAGAACCATAGTAAACCAATCAACACGAACTGACATCAGGAAGAAAACACGGCTCCATGGAATTGAGTAGGGATTTTGAAGAAATCATTTTCAGGTAAATATTAGAGATTAAGTTGATAATCTACCTGCTGTCAGTGAATCCAGTACATTGTTCCACAATAATAGCACATAAATGTCATCTGTATTAATGATTTTGCAAAAATGCTGGTTTTTAAACTGTACTAGCAAACCTGGCAGATTAAAATAGGTAATATATTTCACTAGTTCATAATGTATCCTGTTCTAACATAAATCAACTGCTTAAAATAGTATTATGAGAACACACTGAGTTTGAAAGGATAGGTTGGACAATACTGATCAGAGGTATGTGAGGCGACTGTAAATAATTATAACAAAAATAAAACTCACCTGGGGTCTGAAAGGACAACCCTAGACATTAACTCCAGGCAATAATACTGGGATGGAAAATACGAGTACACAATCTCTGAGCAAATATGTACATCTACACATTTTTCCTATTTTAGTTATATTGAAACTTGAGAACTTCACAGCAGCCTACTAAAATCACAGATCAACAGGATAAAAGTAGATAAGAAGAATGTGCAATTTATGAATATGATTTATTACCATGGTTACAAACTTTGAGAACAGGCCTCTGAGACATCGGACTGAGACTTTGCCGTATATCTGTTAAAAAAAGGAAAAAGACAGAAACTTAATATAGCGATCTGTTCATCTTAAGAAGTGTAAGAGTATTAAACTCCTCCTGCATACCCTTAAGGTTAAGTATTTCTAGAAGCAAAGTAATGCTTCAGTGCCCTAAAATACTTGAAGGAATAATGTTATGACTTTTACTTTCTGTTTAATTATGCTACCATAAACTCTACTGGGATAAGGTACATATGGTTCTTTAGATGAGACTTGTCACACTAATCAGGATTTTCTAGGTTGAGTGCATTGATTTGTTAATGTGCTACTGACATTGGCCAACTGGTACTGCGTCTCTCGTTGACATTTATCATTGCGAGGAGAGGATTAAGCGAACTTTAGGTACTTGTGAAGAAATGTTGCCGATTGCAATACATTCTTGACACATGACTTTAAGTCCCCTCCCCGACACCCCACCATCTTTTTTTTAAAAAGGAGGGGTTGTGGTAGTTTCTCAGAAAGTAACATGAAACAAAGATAATGTTCACCTTTTGGTTTGGGTGTCCTTTTCCTTCGGTCTCGGAAGGCAGCTCCTGATTGCAAGGCCTCCAGCAGACTATCCATCACTCCTGTCTCATCACCCTCTGTGAAAAGAGACACGGGGAATTCCGTCAGCCCTCGGGCTTACCACAGCAATGTCAAAGCATGTACTGAAACTGGTGATGGTGTTGGTGGGAGATCCAGAATGAAGCCAGTGATTTCAAAGTAAGATAGGACTTTAACTCTAAAATAAAAACTTAAACAAAGAAAAAAAACAAAGACACGGGGTTGGAGCGACAGCACAGTGGGTAGGGTGTTTGCCTTGCATGCGGCCAACCTGGGTTCGATTCCCAGCATCCCATATAATCCCCTGAGCACCACCACAAGTGATTCCTGAGTGCAGAGCAAGGAGTAACCTTTGTGCATCACCAGGTGTGACCCAAAAAAGCAAAAAATAAAACAAAAACAAAACAACAACAACCCCCCACTCCCAGAAATTTGTCTCATTTGTGCAAGTGCTAGTGTCCACTATAGAGGGCCACCTTTCATGACTTGACTTGAGAACACTGCTTTTGCAGCCTAGTGGCATAATAACTTTAAATGGAATGTGGTTCTAGTCCTATCTGTTTCAGGTTATCATAAATCACATTTCCCTCATAGGAACAGGCTTCAAAGTGCAAGCTACTATTTTAAAACCGACCAGGTGTGGAAGAGTGGTTTTGTTGTTATGGAGAGTTTGCTTTCTAAACTTATTGCCCAAAGTTATATTTCTAGGCTGACTTTTGCAAACAGATGCCCAACAACTGCTTTCTCATATCAAAGGATAGTAGCCCGCACTTTAGGTGACATAGAACAATCACTACAAACATTCATGGAACAGCTTGTTCACCATAAAAAAACAACAACAAAAACCAAATGAGGCCTTTACAAATATAAAATACTACCTCACCATTAGGATTGGTCTGAATTATCAGTCTGTGTATCTTTATAAAAGATATTGTTGATGAACTAATTCTCCCCAAAAGTAATAGATCATATTGCAATATTCAATGCTACTTATATACATGCGGGCGAGATACTACCCATGACATATTCAATATGCCAAACACAGTAACAACAAGTCTCATGATGGAGACATTACTGGGTCTGCTTGAGCAAACCTATGAACAACGGGAGGACAGTGACAGTGACTTATATATGTAAATGCCTGTGTTTAAAGAAAGCTGTGAAAAAAGACACACTGACCCAATCCAAATTCCAGAAAATGCCACGCTTATTTTATCCCCCAAAAGGAGGTTGTTTTTTTTCATAGGTATTCGCTATGAAATTAGATGGCTGATATACAGTTATGTTTAAAGTAATAGGTCTGTATTTTTATTTCTTTTTTTTGCAATACCATTCCTTTTTAGGGAACAGATGACAAATGAACACAGTAGAGAACAAATAACACACTCATTTACAGTTATACACAGATAAATATAAATATGTATTGGCCCTTTTCCATCTGGTTCTATTGCATATTTTTAGAAAAGCACTAAGCTTGCAGGTATAATAAAAAATGAGTGAAAAAAGAGTATTTGGAAATTGTTAATTTACCTTAAATTCAATTTTAAATACTGTTTGATGGATATTTTAATTAAAATATATGACATATTTCAGACACTTTAATTAATAACTACTGATCTATCTTAGAAAGTTTACACCCTAATTCAACAAGATTTTTTCATAAAAAGAAAAGAAAATAATGTCAAACACTTAAGAGAATAAATGCATTTCATCAGTAAAAAAAATAAATAAAAGCATTAAATAAACTACCATGAGAGTAATGGCATACACATTAAGGGAAAAAGTGGAATGAAAATGTGAACTTTCCATAGTAAATTTGTTGTTGGTAGTGGTACTGATGTAGTTATTCTGAAACGATAATGTGTGTATTATAAGACTGAGCAGATGTTATGTCGTTGGTAACAAGAGTGCTCACAGTGGGAAAAGAAATACAAATACAGAATGGAAGCACAAGAAAAATGAAGGAACGTGGGGTTGGATTTACAGGCATCATGAGCTCAAACCTTAAACCAGAAGTAATTTCTAAAAGGTTTAAAACAATGCAGGGAAGTGGTTGCGGGGGAGAACCTGTGGACTCAGCCCTGAGAAGTGCGGTTGCCAAAGGAGGCAGGAAATAGGGACTCTGGGGAACAGACTGTAGCAGAAGGATATTAGTATGTTGGTGGTGGTTACATATGGTAACATTCTTTGAAGAGGTGAGGAATTGCACTTGGATAACAGACAGTTGTATAAACAAATGCTATCTCAATAAAACAAGCAAATAAAGGTTTAAAGAAATTAGACGAAAGTATCAAAAGAAAGAAAGAGGGAGAGACAGAGACAGAGAGAAAGAGAAGAAAAACATATGCCACAGAGGTAGGCTGGGGGTGGGGTGATGATAGGAGGGGACCTGGGGACACTGGTGCTGGGAAATGTACACTGGTGGAGGGATGGGTATTGGAACACTGTACTACTGAAACTAATTATGAACAGCTTTGTAAGGATCTATCTTACAGTGATTCGATTTACCAAAAAAAAAAAAAACCCAGAACAAAAAGAAACAAACATCCATAATGATTATAGAATATTTGAAATAAGGCTCAGAGATGCACATAGGCACCCGAACCCAGTTTGATCCTCAGCGCAGAATGGCCCTCTAAGCATTGGTGGGTGTAGTCCTGGGTATCCCCAAGGACTTCTGGTGGTCTTTACAGTCCTTGGCACTCAGGGTTAAAGTAGTACCACATTCTCAGGCTCTAGCATGAAGCCATGGTGATGCTTGGCAGAACATCACCAGGACTGCCCCCTGAGCACTGACTGGAATCCTCCCTTTACGAAAACATTGAAAACAAATTGAGTATGTGAGAAGAGAAAGCCTTTTTTATAGAAGAACTGGTTACCAGTATGCATTAGGAGAAAAATCTTACTTCACATAGTAAGAACAGACAGGCAGAAAACAGCAATTATTACAGAAGCCATGTTTAAGACTGCGGGAGGGCAGAATTGGGAGAAATCTGGCATATCTCAACTCCTTTAAGTAATCAAACTTGACACCATCAATAATGGGATCCGTTGACATCAATTGTCTCCTATAGTGATGCACTAACCTGTGCAGTACTTTGGACAAAAAATATTTAACCTGAATCTAAAGGCAGGGAAATAATTATGGAACTCCTAAGTGAGAAGCATCCTGTGAAATAAACATTATGGATTCTTAAAAAACATGACCAATATCATGAAAATATGAAGAGAAGATAGGTTAGTCAACTGTTTTAGATTAAAGGAGCTTAAAGAGAAATGCCAACTAAATGTGTCTCTGAGTCACTCTTGAATCGTGAAATACAACAAAACTAACCTATAAATAGCATTATTGGGATAACTGTGGAAAATGCAACTGAATTATTTATTAAATGCATTTTGTCATTGCAGTCTTGAATGTAATGGTTGCTGTTAGAGGTAGGCAAGATAATCACCTTTTCGTAAGGAGAGAGAAGATATGTTGAAGCTTATAAAACAGCTCAATACCGCTGTTCCAAGTTCTCTCTATTTTTGGACACATGCCTGTTTCTATGAAGAATACCCTTCCACTTTCTTCACAAGCTGACTTCTTTAAGACAATAATTCTTCCCTGACACATGAAAGCTGAACTGGGTGCCCCTCTGTGTGTTCTAATGGCATTGTGCTACATACAGCAATAAGTCCTTCACTACTTAATTTACATGACTGTCTCTACCAATAGACTTAGTTCACTCACGAGAAGACATGACTTTCATTTATCTTCGACTAGCAAAATGTAGTAATGATATCTAGACTCTTAGAATCAAGAAATAATCTCGGCTGTTAACAAGTAGAAAATTGGGATAGGTACAAAAGGGTTAAGCTTCATAGTGAATTATCCCCTGATGAACAAGCAGGGGTTAGGCAGAGTAGGTATAAACTCAAATCAACAAAAACAAATACAATCAAGTATTCAAATGATTTGCATTTACAGTACTCTAACACAACCAGAGATACAAAAATAAGCCATATTTTATTACAGCCTAAAATTCAGTTTCTTTAACAAGTCAAACTATACTCAAAATATTTATAGTTTCTTCCTGCTGTGAAAACTCTTTTAAATAGGCTAACATTAATAGTCAGAGTTTTGGTTTGTTTGAATAACATCACCTGCTTAGTTTGTAAATGGTATTAAGAAATATTTGTGTCTAGAAAATTAGAAGAGGGTGGGTTAAAGAATATATATGTATATAATTCTAAAGTGGAAGCAACAGAATTACGAGGAAGGGACAGTAGTGAGTTCTAAGAAGTTACACACACACACACACACACACACACACACACACACACACACACAGAATCTCTTGGTGAATTAGTAGAGAAATTACAAAGAAGTAAAATATTGAGTACAGTAGAAGACACCGTGGTTTTTTATTTTTTTTGGACATGGAAGTACAATGTGTTCACAGACACCTGCAGATAATTTCTGGAAGTAAACTGGAAATTCTACCCTCTAATTCAGGCAAAAATGGGGCAACGTTTTTGAAAGTCAAGTCCATGTTGTTATCAATACTCAGTACTAGTGAGAGAGACCTGAGACACACGAGAGGGTAAGACTCGGATGATTCTTAGGTGCTAGGGATGCTCTGGATGTATGCCTGACTGCACTGAGAGGCAGGATCTTGAGAATTGCCAAGATATTAAGAATATGAGAGATGGTAGAAACTTTTCTTTATTCCATTTTCCTTAGGCTAACAACACAACACTAAAATATAGAAATATTAAAGACACAAAGATCCTAATGATTAAAAAAAGATTCAGAACAAGAAAAATCAATCAAAACAGGACATTTATAAGAGCATCTGAATGGAACTGGATTTCTCACAAGTGACAATAGATTTCAGAAGGTAGTAAAAAAACAAATTTCAAATAATGAACAGGAAGTATTTCTAATAAATGGGTGTTTCTAACAAGAAAATAAATATTTCTATACACTCTTAGAAAGCTGTAGGGATGTGTATCTTTATAAAATAAAGGAGAGAAGAAAGGCTTGGACCAAGAA